GCGCGTCAGGGCCTTAGTGGGTGTCTAATTCTCTAAATTCGTCTTAAATTGAGCCAGATATCGAGAAAGTTAAACAAACTGTCGTGTTTTTGGAATAATTTTTGCATTTGTTGAATACAAGAGTCGGTGTAAATTGTCAAAATTCACAGATTCCATCAGAGGGCGCAAAATGCTTACATGAGCACTAGGTCACTCAAAGGCTATTGCCCGAGGTAGTGCAAGGGGCTGTTGGTAGTTTCCACTTCTCCCTATTCCTATCTTTGCCTTTATAGTCCCGGTAAAGTTGTTACTCCACCCTATTCTGTCACTGCATTACACAAAATGTCCAAACAAGGTAGTTTGTTCATCGCTTCTTTGGAATTTTGGGACATTCCAAAAAGCAGTGAATTTGGTCGGTCAAGTGCCGTTATTAAAGATCGCCGATTGCTCCAGTTTATAATACCAGCTACTGTCTGTTTATGATGAAGGATGAATACGCTGGTCTGATATTCACATAAAATGAGGAGAAACAGACCTGCTTCTGTGCAGACGTTCCGAAGATCAGCTCCATTGAAGCCATCCGACAATTTAATTATTGCTTCCCAATCTGAAAATATACATAAGAAGCATGAACACAAGGCAATGTGTTGACCGAATAAAATACAGTAGTACGGGGCTGGTAGTACAAGCTGTTTACTGGAAGCCCTTATGTGGTGGCCATTTATGTTGTCTTGCAAACGTCCATGTAGTATCTAACTGAGCGAAGAGAAGGTAACTAGGATACACTAATAAGGTGCAAACTCAGACCGGCGAAAATTTGAGATCCAAAATGGTCGTGAAAAGTTTGAAGGCTAGGTCTAGTAAAATCAAGCATCGTGGCTGAGCAACTTATAACCCATGAAACAGCTATACAAGTTTGGCAGTCACCTCATGCTACCCTAAACTCGTCTTTATGCCTAAAACCCTGCGTCAGTATGCCGGAAAAACAAACGCAAACATTTTCCGTGCCAAACAACACAATATTTGACAGTTAAATTTAATTGTTACCAATGTCTCCATGTTTGGCAATTGGAGCGGCGTGTATCTTCATGATATCCATTCGTGCCAGTTCGTTTGGAAGAGGGATCTCTATAAAAAGGAGGTCAAAGTTGAGGCCACGACTGGCTGTATCACTATCCTCGTAAATCAAAACAGGGCTTGCGAGATCGGATCACTGATTATGATAAGCTAGGGGCATTAAGATGTCTACATGAAGTGAATAGAAACACTAGACTTAAACAAGAGCGTTCAAATAACTATTGATTGCGCAATTAATCTTTGAAGATATCTTATAGGAGAAAATGTGATATCCGAAGAAATCCAAAAATATACAATGAGAAAACATGAATCGAACCACTTTATAAAGGTTCTTGTCTTTCAAAAACACCTATCTGAAGTAAAACCATCTCAGGCTACAAATAAGTCTGTTGAGGAATTATGTTTATAAACTAACTGCGATAATTCACTGACCATACTGATGTCCCGAACGAGAATTGAATGAATTACGAAACTAAACCCGTTGAGAGGATAAAGAGGTTGTATCTCACGGCTTCACTGACAAAGATGGCGTGGCTAACGCCCTACTGAAAAACAGGGAAAAATAACCGGAAATGACTTAAGAGAATAGAAGTGTAAATTTTACTACATCGAGGACTCGCGAACTGTAGTTTATTGGAATCACGCGTTGGAAAACGGACAGAGGATGTGCGGTATAAGATATGACCATTTACAAAATGTTTATGTTTGACATCTTTATAAAGGGCAACGATAGTTTGATAATGAACAATGCACAACAGAACGGTGCTAGATCCAAAGCCGAACGAAATATCTTAAGCAACTATGTAAATCCCAGCATAGCGAAAGTTAACGTCCTGTGTCGGGAGAAGAAGTCACTGAATTTTGAGGAATGCATCAAGAAGCAGGCGAATAAGAAACGGCTACAGTATGACGCAGGATATAACATGGGTGGTCATGAGACGGCATTTAAAAAATCTCCTGAACCCCAATATAGTCTGCAAAACAGAAAAAATTACCTATTTTTCTATCCAGGCGACCCGGGCGAAGGAGAGCGGGGTCTAACGTGTCCGGTCTGTTTGTAGCCATTATCATTTTTACCTAGTCGGAAGGTGAAAAAAATGTATTTAATGGAATGAAGTACCAAATTTATTGGGAAATTGTTGAGTATCTTTAGTATATAACCGGTACCTGACCCAGGGCGTCAAAACCGTCCATCTGGTTGAGAAGCTCCATAAGAGTCCTTTGGATCTCTCGGTCTGCGCTGGTGCCCTCAGTAAAACGTCGTCCACCAATAGCATCGATTTCATCCATGAAGATTATGCAGGGTTGATGGTCGCGAGCGTAACTGAACATCTCGCGAATCAGTCGGGCTGACTCGCCAATGTACTTGTCCACGATACCACTTGATACGACTTTAAGAAAGTTGGCATCTAACTGTGAAGCGACTGCTCTAGCTAGCAGAGTCTTGCCAGTACCTGGAGGTCCATATAAAAGACAGCCTTTGGGAGGAGTGATTCCGACACGTTGAAACAATTCTGGATTCATGAGAGGTAATTCAATGACTTCACGTAACTCCCGAATTTGTTCAGCCAAACCGCCAACGGACGCGTAGGACACGACACCAGGGTCCTCCACGGACATATTATAAACTAGAGGATCAACTTCACGTGGAAGCTGACGCATGATGGTCAGAGTCGTCATATCCAGAGCGACACGAGTACCCGCCTTAAGCTTTGACTTCTGTAAATTTCTTCGGCAGCCAACGACGTACCGCGGACCATTACTAGCTTTAACTATGACTGAAAAAAAAAAGAAATATCAGCAATCAGTATTTGTATAAATTAGGAAAAGCAAGCGTGTTCCAAATAACACACCTTGAAATCACAATTAATAAAAGAATATGATAACAATTGGAAGCGACAAATTCCCGACAGTACGCAGATAGAACTCATTATTTAAAATGTAAATAAACAAAGAAAGCGGATCTAGCAACGAAAGCAGACTATCAAAAGTATGCGAAAAATAATAGGGTAATTTTGCCAGGGCAAAAAAACTTGATTTTGATCTGCGAATCTGAAATTACTAAGCTTCTAAGGGATTCAGGGATATAAAACAAGCACAAAAATTATCCAATCTTACTGGATGGAGAATAAGATATAGGAACTAAGTGCCTACTATTTAATTTCTTCTTAAGAATACAAGGTAGGGATGGCACAAAGTCCCTAGAGCTTCCAATAAATGCAGAATACGTCGAGAAGAAGATGCGATCACTGAGACAAGACGACAACCACATTTTTTTCTTTTTAATTACTTCCTGAGACTCGCATGTGGGCTGGTATTGTAAGCACTATTTCCTTTTTACTTAAAGCATGCCCAGTCGTATGATGGTTCCATACGGAATACAGTCACTGGCGATGCACCGCGCCAAGGCATTACTGTTGACAGCTAACTATCCTGGCTAAATTAAGTGATCGGACAGGTATGTAATGAGTTCTTATCTGATTGAAGCTCGCTTAACTTTGCAAAAGACCTTGAGGTATCATTCATACGTGAATTAAAAGTACGTAGAGTACAGAGACAGAGTCAAGTAGAATTTCAGTGCGCTCTGCCACTGCCATCTGCGGCCGACTTTGCAGCTGATGGCGCTGAAGGCTTTGACTTGGTTTATTGCGAGCTCTGGCGTATGATGGAGCTAGATAGTGCGCAACGAAAAGCAGTCAGCACTAAAGACTACTAAAACCCCAGCGACTATCAAGGTCTTGCCCGCAACAACCTTCAACAATCGTCCGACATTCGGTTAGACTTATAAGAATTCACCTTGAAGATTACGCCAAAAAACTGCGTACTTGACTGGGTTTGTGGAAGTAAGGTAAGCGACGTCGATGTTGTGCTAGCGTCGACCACGATTAGCTATGAAAAGCAGTAGTCTGGACGGAGGAAATCGCTGACAAAATTGTTTTGGCTTTCGGCATTGCTAAAAGTATTCTCCGGTTATATAAACGAAAATGCGGGGATGTACTAACTTTT